ACCACAAAGTAACATGAAATGAGCTACATACAGAGTTCAGTAAACTCATAAAAAGTTAATAACATTGTAATAAAATACTCGTAGCAACAGTTCAAGCCACATTTGAGTCACCACATTTACTTATGTAGTAGTTGAATGACATTTTGATGCCTAAGAACTTTTGATTGATTGACGTTTGAGTAGGGAATAAATATTCTAATTGATCCCAAAAGGCGGAAGCATATGATTGAAATTTAAAATACGAAGCCTATGCACAGTTAGACTTACATATTTATGTACATATGAAAAAATACTGAGTGTTGAATGATACAGCTTATGATTATGGTTATGTTTACGATTATGGTTATAGTTATGGTTATGAGTATGTCTATGGTAATAGTAATGTAATGGTAATGGCTATGGAAATTGCCTTGGAAGCATACCTTATCGCCCGCTTTCGAGTGGCAGAACTATCTAGTTCAACTTCCAGCGTAAAGCTCTTCCTGAAAGCGTTTTATTATATAACTTATGTAGTTAACAATTACCGACATCGCTAAATACTTTTCTGGTCTGCTCCTTGTGCAAATTATGAAGAAGACGTTCAATTAGGACACGTGTGTGCTAATTGTAGACAATAGTCAACCTGCTTAACAGCCAACGTTTCTAGAAAAACAACGTAAGCACAGTCGCAGCTACATAAGTAACTAGGACGCACATTAGGAATTCAACACGCCGCCTACACATTCTAGTTAATCACATACTTATGTACTCTCACTTTTTACATAATCATCATCATTTATCGGCAATAACAACAACGAAAGACATCAGCGCCGACAACATCCGCAGCTGTGTAATCCATATTGTTTAGACTGTTAACGCGCTCAATGTTCTGCTAATCCCGTTACTCATCATTACTATCACTCACTAACGGTATTATTTATGCAGATATGTGTGTGCATTAAAAAGTTGACGGCATATTTGCTTCGCAGAAAACGAATGGTATAAATATTGTTTTTGTTTTTTTTTTGTTTTTAAGACACACGTGTCCCCTACTTAGTTGCCACGCGCTTCATCACTTTGTTGATAATTTCGCAGTGGGAGATGGGTGGCGAATTGGAAATTTGTTGAAATTGATTTGCTCAAAGCGTGATAGCAAATTTGTAGTCCATTATAATGGTCTATTAGCACTCACTTTTTGAATTTATGTGCATGCAAATGCATGTCGCTTCATGCGCTACCAATTTGATTTTGATGACTTAATTTAAAGTACGAAAGTGTAATTTCAAGTTGACAAACAAGCACTGCGACCGCTGCGAATTGTCAACTGTCTGCCCATTACTTACAAGTTGTTAAAAGTGTCTGGTCGCCATTTGAGTAAAAGTTCTAAAAAAAGCAGCCTAGGGTGAAGTTAGATATTTAGTACATTAAAGGCAGACAACTTTTGTCATTTGAGTATCCATTTTGCTTGCGAGGTCAAGACAAGCAAAAGGTCAATAGCACTGGGAATAAAAGGCAAATCGTTATATTTCTGCTTTTTTGGGTAACTTCAAAAATGCATAACATTTAAACTCTCCCAAGGAAAATGTGAACCGAATCGATGAACATCGCTTAGAAAATCACAATTTTTTTTTTTGTTACATTTCTAATGGAGTGAACAATATTTATTATACGTACTTATAGCTTCGAATTATATTTTTTGTGCTCAAATTTAACCGTTATATTAAGACTTTTATTTGTTCAATCAAATATTTTTATATAACGATTTTGCTATGATCTAAAAATAGAAATATTGATTTTTTAACGGTTATTTTTGGTCCCTGATTTATAAGTCTACTGAATACCTTAGTGATTTGATATTAGGGGTGTTCGATTATTCGGCTATTTTCGAAAACCGTTTTCGAGTTATTCGAAAAAATGCCAATTTGAAAAATTGGTTTCCCATTTTCAAATTAAGAGCAAAACCAGTTAAAAGCTGATTTATTTTACATATTTTCTCTACACTTATTGTTAGTTAGAAATCATGGCCGAAATTGCAATATTACTGCTAAAATTAGTTATAGCTTCAATTTTGTAATCGATTCGGCAAAGAAAGATCGAAGTCTTTTGGATTACAAGTAAAACAGAAAAATTCGTGAAAAATGTTTACTTCATAAGTTACCAAGATTCCATAATTAAAACAACGGACCGTTTGTCGGAAGTTGCGAGCATACGCTGAACCAGATCGACTCTACAGACCACTCACAGCGATAACCAATCAATACCTTCGTCAACTCTCACCCCTTGAATTCCGTCATCGGATGCCTTTGTGAGGCTTGCGATAATTTGACACAACTCATTCTGGATATTGTAGCAAGTTAAACCGTTCATTAAAATTTGACGACACTAACCACCTCATTATATGCCCACTCATATAAGTTCTCAAAAAATCGCTTAAAAATATTAAAAAAAAAAAATGGTTCAAACCGATTAGGAAAAACCGAGTCAACCACCCTAGTATTTATCAGCCTCAAATACTTAAGTAAGTACTTATATATTGAATATTTAACGCTTCCTAAATACTTCAATTCTATTTACTTGAGTAGTTAGAAACACCTAAATCTGTAAAATACTAAATACATACGTATTTTTATGGGTATCTAGTATTCATAGAGGCTATTTATTTCAATGCAAAAGTGTTAAAGCATGCCGGTCGCCGGTTAATGGTTAAAAAAAAAATACCTTTAAGTAATTTTTTATAGTTAAGTTCCCAAAAAAATTTAACGGTCTGAGATAATTCCGCATTTCATATTTGCATAATCGTGCATAAATCAAAAGTGACCCGACGAAACGAAATAAGTGGTCACCTTTTGCATTTATATTCCGCAAACGCACGCTGACCTCTCCGTGAGTTTGTAATGGGGTAATCCAATTTACATACACACATACATACATATGTATCGATAAAGATCCCATACAAATAGGAGTATGCAAATAAATTCATTTGAAATAGCAGACATCTGTACCATATGCCAAAATGAGGTGAATGTGTGGATGCCAAAGTCATTGTCAAGTGATTGCACAAAAAAAGAAAGCAGGAAATATAAAATAAATACAAAAAAGAGCTGCCTGTAGTTGAATGCTGATCCGATAAAAAGGGTCAAGTACGGTAAGTATTAAAAATGCATGAGCTGCTGGTAGGCCAAGAAGGCGTAAATGTATGTATGTAAATCTCCTTTATTGTCGTTTTTTAAATTATTCTGTGGGTAAATTAGGCCGTATCACAAAAATTATCAAATAGTTATTTTCAATCGATTTTACACACAATTAATGTGAATGTTTTTAAAGTACACATATAACAATTATTTTCTGGGTATCCTTTAAAACGAATTTGCTTCTAAATTTTATTTTTATATTTGATGGCAGATTTTCACAAATAATACACATACTATTATAAGTTTTTAAAAAATTGCTTACTGTTTCTCTATATATACATATGTATTAGGGTGGTCCTTAAAAAAATTCAACAGCGAGTTTATGAATTTATATGAACAAGTTTTAATAATAAATTTTGTAGTTTTTTGCGATTTAGAAAAAGAAATTTTTTAAACTCTCCAAAAGTTTTTTTATGTAATTTTTAAACACATCATATTCCTACCCTGTCGCAAATGTAATCAACCAAAAAGAAGCCTAGTAGCGACCCCTAAAAATTTGTTTACAATTTTAAAATTTTTGTGAATATCCTTATTGCTTACAAAATTTACAAATTTTAGATGTTGATATTTTAAGGACCACCCTAATATGTATTTCTAAAATTATAATCCCATCACTTGAAATCCAGATAATATCGAATCGGGACTCTTATGGTAAATATAATTTAAATAAGCTCCACAACTTTTGGTTTTGAAAAAGAATTTGTAGTAAAATCGATTGAAAAGGTCTCCATTTTTGCTCTATTCGTTTCTTTGAATTTTGAAAGTGAAATGCAGAAAATTCATTTTTTTCTGATTGGGTTATAAACAAATTTGCTAGTGTTTTTTCACCGCTATTTTGGAGTAAAAAGGAGAAACAACTTACAAATACTTCGAGAGAGTACAATACAGCCGTTTTTAACGGATTCTCGATTTTACTAACTAAATCGTTTATGACTAAAATCCTGCTACCCAATATCTCGAATTAAAGGGATCTGCGATAACATGACTGCCAAATATGCAGGCTACCCGAATTGCTCTTTTGCACTCCAGTATGAAGCCTTGAATATGTATGGTAATACTGTATACTTAATATTAGTATATTTTTTTGCTTTATCGCATCGCATTTTTGTGTTGTACAGTGGGTTAAAGCCCCCAACTTTTTAGTCGAAAATTCAAAAATTCCTTCTTAAACCCTTCAACTGGCATTTTTTCAGAATCCGGGGCAAAAAGACTAGTTTTGGGGGGAGTTAACGAATTAAAATGTTCTTTGGAGAATTTTTGCTACTAAATACTAAATTTAGGACGCTGATGACAAAAATATATTCGAGGTCGATTTATAAATAGAACTACATTTAAAAATATGTCTTGAACTTTCGACCTAAAAGCAAAAACTCTATAAAAAGTTGTGCTAAGATAGAATAAAATCGTTTAACTACAAACGTTTCAGTATAGTTTCATTGAGAGCGAGAAATGGTCGTACCCCCGGACCACAACCCTCTTACTACTGAATATCAAATTTTTCATTAATTGCCACTAGCTTAAAAGTAGCTATTAACAAGTAATTTTTAGCAAAAAAAAATATTCCGACGAACTGATAACCCCCTCCTTTTTTGGGAGCCGGTTAAAAAAGAATTGATTGTGCAAAAGAGCGTCAGCCTTTTCTAGTCGGACTGTATTGTAATTGTATTATAGCAAGATTACAATAACGATTTTTATTGTTACTTATAATAATTATTATTACTTATTACAACAAAGAAATTGCAACACAGGTACAACTGAATTAAAAATATGTCCATTTGGTAATAAAAAAAAAAATGAACAATAACAAACAACGTCAACATCATTACATACCCGTCTCTGCATGCGCCTGTCATGGCGAGCGCTTTATAGCGTGCCTGTTCATCCGTCGGCAGCACAATGTCAACGGAGCGCGAGCGAGTTGCATTTATGTTCGGTACGGTGAGGAAACAACCGTCCTCGCTGGGCTGCAGTTCCTCTGTCTTGCCGGCCGAAGACATTTTCGAGAAGCACGAATCCACGGAGGCGGCGCGATCGCGCTTCAAATCAGGTACAGTTAGATAAATATCACGTACGACCAGCTCATGTTTGGCTGCTGTCGGCGAACCACATGTAGCTACTGTAGACGCCTCATCCACCGAATCCACCGCCTCCACCGATGATTTCACATCCTCACCTTGTGACACATTTTCCAACGAATTGCCTGTTGGTTCCACAAAAATGGCTTCCTGACGCGAAATGGAACGCCGTCGCGGTCGCATGGTGGTCGGCGAAGGTGGCACCGCCGCGGCCGCATCATCCGCATCGGCTGCGCTTAAGCCGCTGCTAAAGCCCGGTGGTGGTGGCAGCGGCAAATCGAAAGTGGGCGGATGGGGTAACAGTTCTAGCGGCGATATGGGCGGTGGTGGCGGCAATTCCATCATTGGACTGTCGCAAACGGAGAGTGCAATGCATGGTGAGGGTGGTGGTGAACCGGGATCGATGGGAAAGGCATACGGAAAGGGCGGACAATCGCCGTTCGTGGGCGATAGTGTGAATGTGATGCCGCATGGCGTTGTTGGCAATGGTGGCAGCAGCGTATTACCGAAGTGCGGGGAATCATGTTCGGATTCATCGAGGCCCTCATCTTCTGAAGTAGTCACTGAGCTGCCGATGGTGTGGCGACGCATTTGACGTGGCAGACGGGCACGTGACTCCTCAATGCTGCTGCCGGTGCTGAGTCCGCCCAGTCGGATGTCCATTTCCAAAGCTGCATCATCATATTCATACGAGCCACCACCTATTTCGTTGCCATCGCCCGTGGCTGCGTCATCCTCCTCATCCTCTTCCTCACCTTCCTCCACCACATCATCGTCGGCTGGGACGCTCGCACCATCGTTGTCGGTGTCATCGTCGGAACTGCTATAGCCGTAAGTGAGTGAACTCGACTCCCGCCGATCAGTGGCGATATAGCGCTGTTCCGCCTGCTGCTGTTTCAAGTATTCCTCCAGATACAAGCAGTGTATGCAAGGCGGTGGTGTCTTCGTGGACGAGCTACGACGCGCTTTGCCACGCCGCGGCACTTCCAGGAACGTGCCCGAATCATCGCTGCCCGCTGAAGCCGCCGCCGAGTCGAATGAATGTGAGCGTTGTGTGTGCATGGCCTGTGGCACTTGCAGCAGGCCGGTGTCCAGAGAACGTTCATCTGCCGATGACGATGATTGCTGCTTAAGTAGGTGGGACGAGACTCGCTGCGCCTCTAATTGCATTTCGTCGAACGAGGCGGAACGCACCTGCTGGCGGGCAAAAGGCGCAGATAATTACCAAGAACGTAGCCATGAATGCGAGAGGGGGGAAAAAGAGTGAAGAGAAGAAATGTTGAGGTTATTAAATTTGCACGCATTGACGGCCGTGGTGCTGCTGTGGCACGTAATTTGCGATATAATTTACGACGAAATTGCATGCAAACAGTACAACAAAAGTAGTGAAAAACTTACACTCAGGTGCATGTTTCGGGTAAAATAGAACAAAAAAAAAATAAAAAAATCAAAACAGAAAAGCATTTTAAATACATTTTAAAATTTAGAACGGAAATGCTGCAAAAATTATACATTGAGGATAGCAGCGTCTGGGCATGCAATTAAATAGTCGCTGGTTGTGGCTGTGGGCTATGCTGCTGATACAGTGTTGTGTGTACATAGATAAAATCGAAAGGTGATATGTGAAAGTAAGTAATAAACTTAAATAGGCAACATGCAACGCTGGCAAGTGGAACGGATGTGGCCGAGGTTTGTTAGCCGCAATTACAATGTTGGATAATTTATGCAGGAAGTGGGCGAACTCTATGGCGTAAGGCTCTGAATTGAACGCAAACAGCAAAAGTACAAAGATTTATGGCCTTTTTCATAAAAATTTAAATAGATTTTAAAAGCTTTATAAAGTGACATTTTCTTAAAAATTTCTGCTTATTAAGCAGTTAAAGTCTGGTTTAGTTTTTAAGAATTTGGGTGTTAAATTTTATATTGAACTATATAAATATCGAGCTTTAAATAAATGTATGAAATTAAAAACTGGTCATATAAATTTTTGTCATTTAAAAAGTATACATAATTTTTAGTTATTTAGAAAGTGGCCATAAAATTTAAATAATTAAATTTAAATAATTAAGGAACAGGCAATAAAATGCGGAAAAGCGAAAACAAAAAAACAAGGCACAAATTTCTGATAATTCAAAACCCGAATATAGCTTTTTTATTTCAATTTTATTAATTTAAAATATTTAAATAAATACATTTTTGAATAATTATTAAACTGGGCATAATTTTTTGGTAATTTGAAAAGTTTAGGTAATTAATTTCTTTCCATAGAAATTTCGATCGTTTAAAAGTTGAACATAAATTTGTCGCCGTTTACAAACTGGGCTAACATTTTAAGTATATTTAAACGTTTTGCCAAAAATTTGTGAACAGTTTTTAAATTACTAAAACTTAATGTCCGGCTATTTTTCATAAGTTTATAATTATTAAAAAAAAATATTTCCAATTTTTAAATTGTTAGAAAATATGCCTATGCTGTATTAAAGCTTATGGTTGGCACACATCAACATACATATTTAAGCTCTAATAATGTGCGGCTGTCATAACTCTGAGGTTTCCTGTCTGAGGTGGGTGGCATTGCCCTCAATCATCAACATATTCATTCAATTCTTTGAAGTCTTAACTACTTAACATGGACATTTTTCAACCAAAGCACAAAGTCAGTTTTATTAATATTTACATATGTGCGTTAATAAGTGTGGACGGGTGTAGCTTTAAGCGGCTTAACGCTGAAAATGTGTCAAAAATGAGTGACAAGCGCCTTTCAGGCCCGCAAACAACTACTACTACTGTCCATGTGGGTTTAACGACATAGCTGTACTACGTAGGCATAAAATATTACTGAAATAACCAGAATAATTCCTGCACAAAAACATATATATGTACGTTGTTACATACAAAGCTTTTTGTTTTTTTGCATGACAAAAACAGAAGGCGAGCAGTTTTTGTGTTTGCTTCTTCTTGTTTTTTTTTTTACTTTTTCGACCAGTCCAGTGGGCGTGTTTTTTTTTTGTAAATATGCTGATCAGATGTCAAAAAAGGATTTACATTTACAATTTATTATTACTTCACCAGCACAGTCCTGTAATGCTATTGTTCCTTTAATTTTTGTGTTTTATTTCGCTCGTGTGCTGATTTTCACACTCATTACATTCGAAATTATGTTCATATGTAAATATGCATTAAAAGGACTTACATGCAACACGTGTCGGCTTCTGAATATGGCAATGTGTCACATCACTCACTTGGTTGGCAAGTACGCGGACCTATACAATTTTCAGTTAATTGCTGTTTTTTTTTTCTACTGCTGGCTATTGTTTCTTAACTTGTGCTTGAGCACTTTAAATTTTTTATGAGGGCAATTTGAGGGCAGTCTGTGGCTTTTCGTGTTAAATGCGTAGATATGTATATATTTTTCCCATTTGTATTATTAATATGCCCTAATAGCTTCTTACTTATCTAAACAATGTTTATGAGCTTTATACAACATTTGGCAAAATGGTTTTTGTGAAAAGCTTTTTTATGGCAGAAGTACACTAGGTGGTTTGCCATTACCTGCCAAAGGTCGAACGCTATTAGAACAATATTTTGCGGTTTTTTATGTTGCCCGAACAGAAATTGAACCGAAGTCCCTCGAGCTTTATAGATTTAGATTAGTTTTTGTTCATTTAATATTTTTCCAAATAATAGGTTTTCTAAAGGTCTCTAAACCAGATTTTCGCTTCAGTAAAGCATTCCACCAAAAAAGGTATATTTTCATCTCCAGACTATTAATATTTAGCCTGTAAAAAATCATGTAAATTCTAGATTTACTAAATAAATAATCACTTCCCAGATGAATTTTTATTTGTTATACAGCAAACGTTCCTTAACTTTATATGGAAATAAATGCTGCGTTTTTAAATATTAACAGTTAAAAAATTGGTCTTTATATAGAATTGCAATACAGCAAAAATCCCTAATTATATCTGGCGTTTGGTTGCAAGGCAAATAGTTAGGGAAAATAACTGGGAACCAGTAGTTCGCAAGCAGGCTTCCTTAAGCGTTTAATGTGTACATATATGTGCAAAGGTTTTCTCTCTTTTGTTTAGATATGAAGAGCAACTTATAACAGTAAAATTAGAAAAAAATTAATAGCTTAAAATTTTAGGGAAAATTTTGGATTGCAAATAATTCGGTAAATATTGTTTTTGTACTTTTTTGCTTTCTACTATTTATATTGTATTATTTTTTAATTTCACTGTGCGAAAAAACCAAAAAATTTCAAAATACACAGAACATCAACATGTGCGCGAAATTTGGTGCCAAATTTAGTAAAACTGAGTTTTGAGTTTTTCTCTCTGACTTAAGGATTATTTTAGGACTAGGAAATATCAAAGATATGATCAATTCAGAAAAAAGTATTAAATTGAATTCTTGATTTTTTTGATCACAAGGACGAATAGATATTGAAAAAGCCCTTTTAATTATTTTTTAGACGAAAGTTAGTTTATTAGTCTTTAACATGCAATTTTTTCAAAAATAAATTTTGAAAATTTTCAAGCAATTTCGAGGATACAATTTTAAAGTGACATTCCCAACACTTATTCATGTGCATGTGCACCGAAACGTTTACAGTTTTCAATTCTACAGAATTTTCTGTTTGATTTGATACCCATATTGTCATTCTACATTTTGTTTAATAATTTATTGAAACAAATAATAATTTCTTTCAAATTTCAAAGTCATTAACAAAAATTCTGACGGCAGAGAGAAAAACGTAAAATGCAACTTTCCTATTTGTGTGCCAAATTTACTGTCGCACAGTGTTTTATTTTATTTTATTTTATTTTATTTTTTTACTATTTTACTTTATGCTGTATTTCATTTTATTTTATTTCAATTTACAACTTAAATTTTTTTTATCAAATTATTCTTTCTTTTAATTTATCGCTTTCTATTTTTTACTTTTTTTTATATTTTTTATTTGCATGCAACACCTGGAATAACTCGTTTTAGACAACAATCAAACAAAAAAAAAAACAACAAAAAATCATGCAATCACAACTTTGGGCCAGCGCAACAACAAATAACGAGACAACAACGGTAAAAACTAAACAAAAAAAAAACAACAACATCCATATCCGCAAGTCATTCGCACCTGTTTCGGCACTTCGAGGCTATTTTGGGTTTTCATCTCGGCGCCGGTGGGTGTGCGCGAGCGCGTGAAAGTCGTACGCAGGCGTTGCATTCTACGATAATGTTTGTGCTCCTTCTTCGAAATGACTTCGCGTCTCACAAAACTACTCGCTTTAGTAGCTTATGTATATGTATTACGTTCGCCCAGACTTAATTGATGTAGAGTTGGTTGATTGCTTTAATTTTGTTTTTGATTCACCCTTCTTCTACTACTTCTTCCTTTGCTTAATTTAATTCAGCTGTTTTATGCCTATTTGATTGTATTGCTTGTTTTGTATTTTACTTGTTGTGTATTTTAGTATTTTCGCGTCTTTGTTTTAATTGCGCTGTCAACACTGCATTTAACTGTTACTTAACACTCTTGGATATTTATGCTTTTTGGGCGGATGTTGAGTACTACGGGGCGTATGCGTAACTGCTTTGTTTATCACTTTGCTTCTTCTACTACTTTTCCTCACTCCACTGCCGATGCTGCTGCTGCTGCTGCTGGTGCTGCTGTTAATACTTTCTCGCTGGCGTACTTGTCTTTGATGTAGTTGTTGTTGTTCTCTCTGCTGTTGTAAGCTCATGTTGTAATTAGCAGCACTGCTGTTGTTGATGTTGTTGTCTTTATTTTGGGCGATATCGTTCTGATTGCCGTTGTTATCGTTGACACAACAAACAGCCTGCTTTGATTTGCAATAGTAGCGTAGCGCTTGTGTGCTGTTGATTACTTTGCCAAAGGCGTTGTTGCGCTCGCACTTAACGCTCGACGTATAAATGATTATCGTTGCGCGGCGGCGGCAAGCAGCAATTAGATAGGCAAAACATGTAGCGAAAGTAACAGCTGCTGCTTCGCCTACTTCAAATCCCATTTTCGGTGTAATGACTCGTCGTGGTTTCGTGTTTCAATTGCTTTCGTTTAGGCTGCGCTGAAGTCATTTACGATTTGATTGCCACTATGCTGGTTATTGTTGTTATATTGATGACGGTACCCAGCACTCGTGCAGATACGTTGCTTTGTGGATTGCTTTTCTCAATACTCAGTAATTACTCCGACCAATGGGAATGTTAAGTAAATCGTTGTTTTTCACAGCGTTTCTTCTCGCATAAATTGTTGGTATTTTATTTGATTGTCTTTACGTCAGTTCTTACAGCAGCCAGCTTGCAATGAGCAACATGCGGTCAATGTAATCGCTCTATACGAGGAACAAGCTTAATGGAGAAGGAAATGGAAAAGGAAGAGAGAATACACAAATTCTTAAATGAGTTTGATTATTTAAGGGGGGCTTAGATTTCGTATAAAGAGGCATAAAAGATGTTAAGACAAAATTTTACCACTTTTATATCAAACTTTTTTTTCGCACCTTGAAGCAATTTATGGCGTTGGAAGAACTTTTTACTATAAGTATGTAATTCCATTTTGACTGTAATTATTTTGGCGATTATAAACTTATAAACACACTTAACTAAGACTTAACTTATGCTGTTAGATAGCAAGTATATAGGCATGTTTTGTAAATCGCACAATTAGAAATCTGTACGATTGGTTAAATAATTTTGATTACCTATAATTACTTATAATAAAAACATATATAAAATGAACATATTTCCGAAATCGTACGCATTCAAAACCACAAATTTCAGAACATGCCTGCTAATAACATAAATACTCTTAAGTCTTAGGATATTTTTTTTGCAACTAATGTATTGTATGTGTTGGAAATCCAATTAAAAGCGATATGTAAGTTTTTCCTTACACAAGCCAAAGTTTATGCATAAATATTTAAACGACAAACAGTAAAGTTTTAAATATTTCTCAATTTGTTTCTGCTCTGCTTAGTTTTGCATTAATTGAAGTGCATACTTACATATGTATCGATGTACAATAGAATGGGTCGCAAAAAATAAGTTTGAAAACTTACTTTAAGATAATTTTTGGGGGCATACAAATTTTCGTTCTTGACGCTGCTTGCAGTGTAGTTATACAACTGTATGTCGTATTCGATCCGTTCTAATGTACATAAAGATTCAAAGCTGTGTATATATTTTGGGTATATTTGTGGTTAAGTACTCTGTAGGAAATCTATAACTAACTTGAAAGAGTCCAAATAAAGATATTGAAACGTAAATGTTGGTAAATTGCGACTAAAGGCCTGCTCTGACATTTCGACTTCATTACGCCTACGCTTTGTCGGCCAAGCTTAAAAATCCCATGCTGGCTATGCCAATATATTTTTAAAATACAGTGATTTAACGAGTGCCGAAATTGGGACTACCTCAAAATATAAATGTATGGTACCATTACACACTCAACGTTATTAAAAGCGGGGATGCCCCGCGCAATAGCCCTCGATTTTTGTTCTTCTTAAATAATTCATTTGCTTTTGATTTCGGCGGAGCTATTTTTTGCGATTTTACTTTTTGGAGTAAAATCCAAAAATCATAACTTCTAAAACTTTAGGAATTCATCTCTAAAAAAGATTTCATTAAAAATAAATTTTTTAAATTTTTTCACTGATGTGATTTGGTCTAAAAATTTTAGAACAGATGGATTGCGTTTTTTAAATTACAAATCAGGTTATCAAAAAAAAAAAAATTATAAAAAATTTTTAAAACAAAAAATGTTTAGAATTTATTCGCTTTCCAGAAAACATGACTTTCGTTAAGCCAAGAAGCTATTTTATCGTTACGCCAGTATACTTCAATAATAATAATACATTTTTTGAAACTTGTAATCTGACCACTTTGGAAAATTGGAAAGAATGTCAATAAAAGCTCTAGCAATCCCTACAAACTACAAATTGCGCAACGAACTGCGAACAGCCTAAAATAGAAATTTAATTCCGTATCAATATTTTAGACTTGCGTAGTATGCATTGTTGTTGCTTTCAGTGAAAACAAATTGGAGATATTGATTAAAATTGCGCCTTCATGTCCACTGTGCTCTATGAAAATTATTCAATAAAAGTTTTAAATTCAATCTACGACCATGCAATCATTTATACGAATACACACACGCACTTACTTGCAAATTTATTAAAAAAATACACAAGACAAAGTTTTCGCTATTTAATTTTTTCTCTGTTTTGACGTTTAATAAAACTTTTCACTCGAACCAATGGGTCACAAGCTAGTCTAAACAGAAACAGCAGTAAGCTAAGCTAAGCTCATCAACTTCGAAAGGCGCAACTGAAATTGTAACGCTTCTGCTCAACTTTACATTGTAGTTATTCTGTTGAGGAATTAAACATTTAAACAGGAAGAATAGAAAAGTTTTAAACAAGAATGATCGCATCACGAACATGCTTTAATAAATACAACAACAAGGAGAAATTACTAGAAAGTTATATTTCTTAGGGATTTTGTTTTGTGGTTTAGTTTGGAGCAAATCATAAGTTGCTTCAAAATTCAATTCAATAACAAATTTAAAGAAAATAAATGAATATTTATTTATTTTTTATTATATTTTTTGTTCAATCAATGGTACCGAATTTCTGAATGCTTTCTGCAGAATAGTGTCTATTTTCCTTCCAGCAACGATCAGGTCGAATTATAGTCGATTAGAATGAGGTCTGAGCCACTCGATTGCCTTCTATTAAAAGTTTGTTTCACACACTTTCGCCAATTCTTTACTTGCATAAATGAAGCGGAATGAATCCAACTTAGCCAGATTTTATCACAAAAACAAACAAGAAATGGGTAATATAGAGAGAAAGGCCCTTTCTAAAATGTTTGTGTCTTCACAGAGAATCTTAGAATCTAAATCCCCTAAGTGAAAGCTTGATTTAAAGGTGGGCTGATAATCAATTTTGAATTTGCCACTGTCTATGAAGCTTTCAATTCCTTGGACCTAAATTTTTGAGGAAATGTGTGTGTGATTTTTTAATTGCGATTGGTCGAAGCCTTCACGAATAGCCCTTTCTGACAAATAAAAAACAAACTATTTTTAACTTTGCTTTTCTTGAAGTAGAATATCGATCGGTGATTTTTTTTTAACTGGCATTGTTCAAAGCGTTTAGAGTAGTATTGAACTTTTGGTAAATTTTGTGTGAGCATTTTGGTAGAAAAAATATTTTTGATGCGGCAACAATGATCTACACATCTTCTCTTGATCGAATTACTCGTGCGGTGGCCGTTATTACAGCGCACTGAGAAAAGATTTTAGTTACGTCAACTAAATATGTTTCTCTCACCACAAATGTTTTGGTTAGAGTTACATTATTTGTTGATAGTTTTGAGTGTACTCAGATTTGCAGTTTTATAACCCATGTACAAATTTGAGGTGGCTAAGAAATAGCGTTGATTTATAATAATTTTTTTGCTGACGGCTCTAGGCATTTTTCTCCATACAAGGTATGAGCGATTTTTTTTTTTATTGTATATGGAAGAAAATACTTAGAGCTGTCAGAAAAAAATTATTAAAAATCAAGGCGATTTCTTAGCCACTTCAAATTTGTACACTAAAATTGAATGGGCTATAAAACTGCATACCACAAATTTTTTGAAACAATCTGTTTAAAAATTTTAAAATTTTCATGAAAATTCCTTAATTTTATATACGGTTTGAAACTTTGATTTATATGATTTTGTTTGCAGCATGAACTATATTAAAAAATTTAAGCTTGCAAAACATTGCGAATACTTAAAAAACAAGGTTGCACGCAGATATAAAGGAGTGTGTATATGTTCTTCCTAATAACGCCAAAAAAGGCTTTGAGCCGGGTATTCGCTAGTTCGCTGTTCATATAGGCAATTCTTTAAAACGTTGCTTTATAATGTTGCACCACGTTGCATTTCGTATTCCAGCAGCTAAAAGAACGTATACTAAAATTTTGAAACATGTGTTCACGATTTGAAAAAAAAATGTTTCACAAAAAAATTCGAAGTTTCTGAGAAATGCCCATATATTAACCTCTCTGATAAAGCTGAAGGGTACACACTTAAAATCCTGCTTCACATGATCAACGCGCGCAGGCACAGTTTTTTTTTTGGTCTCTGACAAATGACAAATTTCGACTTAGTACATTTTTGAAGAGTGTGTACCTAAAACTCTACGTTTGTGAACGTTAAAAGGGTCATTCTTTTAACTGCCTTTAA